ATGCTGGTGGAGGGACACTATGAGCAGACGTAGAAAAGTAAGGGATATGATAGAGAAGGGGAAGAAATTCAGCTGCTAGAGTAGCCGTTGAGATCGTAGAGGGTTTTCTGAGGCCAAAGCAAAGTCAGGGGAGATCTCTTCCCAAAGAATACTTTGCTTGGAAATTCCTTCAAGGGGTTCCAAATTTATGAGCATAAAGGATGTCAGCTTAAAGGATGAGAACAATGAAGGCCTAAAGCTACTTCAGAGTTGCTACGAGCTTTCTTTCCACTGGAGGGGAAATGTCGCCACATTCTCATGCGACACTGCTCCAAAGGAAACGGAAAAGGCACAAACTCTGCCAAGGACAGCCACGCCTTGCCACTCCCCTTTTCCGCGGTGGTTCGCACCGCAGCCATTTGATGGAGACTTCGAGAGAATGTCTGCTCCAATCCCTCAACTATTCATATCCCTGTCCACAAAGAAGACTCTGTACCTGTTCGTGAGAGATAGGATGTCTACAGATGCGCCGAAGTTAAGGAATAGATAACCAGTCCAAGCAAAGCGGTGGCAGCCATGAGTCCTGACTGTGTTTGTTCCTTGGGTAGAATTAAAAGTAAATCAAAATTTTGGGAGCACAGGAAGTAGTCTGACAATGTATGATTAATTTTCAAATGCAAATAAAAGTTATCTTACATTAGGCGACCTTTGATGATTTCCAAGTGGATTCATATCGATAATTGTAAACTGTTCATTTTCATAGCTTTCTGAAGTTATCAGGGCATGGAATTTTAGCCCTGCTATATTAAAGAGGAGACTGAGAAAGAGGTGTTAAATGGCTTTGCGAGGAATCAAAGCTATTTGGACTGACCAAACAGCTATTGTTAACTCCCTTGTTACAGATGTGGAAACAGAAACCCATGCAGAAGTTGATTTGCCTGAGTTTTCAGAGCTAACAATTAACTGATGATGTTCAGGTTTGTGTTTGTCACTTTTCTTGTCACCGAGACGCAATACCTTACACCCATAATTTAAAGGAGGAAAATTTTATTTTGGCTCATGGTTTGTAGAGCTTTTGATCCATATTTGGCTGGCTCCAAGGCAGAACAATATGGTGCAAGGGTCTGGTCAGGGAAAGGCCTCTCGCCTCATGCATCCAGGAAGCAGAGCATCCGAAGAGCAGCCAAGCAAGGAGATACAACTTTCTAAGTCACAGCCACAGTGACCTTCCAACAGGCCCCACCTCCCCACACCAAGCCAGCCATAAGCCCCTATAGTCCAATCCAAAAGGCCCACCTAGGATTGCATGAGACTTTCGGGTGCATCTAACATAACAAGGGTATAAGTAACAGGGTTCAAGTTGTATATTCTGACTGTTAGACCAGGACACTTTCCTCCATACCCAACAGCCTCTGAAGATTAAATTAGTGCTTTCTTTTAAACATTGCCTCTGTATAATTCAGCAAATACTCAAATTCTATTTCACAAGAATGTAGTGAATTTTATTAAATTTTCTGTAGCCAGTGTGTATCAGTATGGTTTATTCCATCTTGCAGTCTCCTAAGTGAATAATTTCTACACCTGCAGAGGAGTGACATTTAAAATAAAGCCAAATTATTTTCTGTTGTTGAAAATGTCAAAGATGAGCGGGGATCACTTCCAAGCTTGGAGATATGGTAGCAATTTTGTTTTGAATTACTCCACAGTTTTAAAACATATGGGTTGATATAACCTCTAAGCCTCTTCTGTTGAGTTACAATTTTGAAAATCACTTAATCCCTTACTATTTTGGAATCAGCACTGTGCACAAGATAGTCTATCCAAAATTTAGTATATATATATATCTATATAGATATATTATACAGAGAGAGAGAGAGAGAGAGAGAGAGAGAGAGAGAGAGAGGGAGAGAGAGACAGACATTACAGGTTAGAAATCAGTGTAACCAAATGTTTCCCAACTACTGGGGGATTATTTTTTAGGATTAAAAAAAAAAAACAACAAGAAAGACCAGTTTACTGCTTTATAATCTTTAGATGGTACAAATAATTTAGAAATTTTCCCAATAGAGAAAAATAACATTCAATTACAGACTTCAAAAAACTTTATGACTACATATTTATGATACACAAAATGTTCTGTTTCTTTAGAGGTATGACATACACTGTAATTTAGATTTATAATCTCACCTCCCCCAGGAGGATGGGAAAGATTCTGTAGACATGACACTTGGTCTCATAGTTTTTCATTCCATTCTCATTTTGTATGAATGTAGGGAAGAAAATAAAAAATAAATAAAGAATGACAAATTAGATTCATTCATAGGAAAATGGATACATATTGAGGATCTACTCCTAAGTGAAATAAATAAGCCACACGTGTAAACACCGAATAGTTTCTCTGGTGTGAAAAACTATAATAGTACATAAGAATCTAATGAGATAATTGACAATGTGAAATAGGAAGAAAAGGGCTAAAGGTGTAGGGAAAGTGGGAAGGGTAGGGGAAAGGTAATAAGGGCAAAGAAAAAATATGAGAAAATTAAAAAATGGAAATAAAGTGTTTGTAAATGGTGAGGGGAGGAGGTGGTGAAGGGAGGGCAGGGACAAGGGGAAAAATGAGAACCAAGACCTGCCATGTAAAGGTACAAGATCCCAATAATGAATGTAACTGTTCTATATACCTAAAATATACCAATAAACTCAATAAAATTTTTTTAAAAAGAAAATAAAAAATGTAATCGTTACGGTGATTCAACTCACCATTCTTTATGGCATATTTATAGTTTTTGCTTTTAACAATTTTTTTCAAAGCCTCCTAGATGTGATGATATTAAAAATTATATAGCTACTGTTTGGTTAACAAACATTTGCCTTGGAATTGTGCAAGAAAGTTTGCTCTTTTACACTTTTCTTTAGCATGTGTATAATTTCTTCCCAAAGCATTTAGCTCAGTGACGCCACACCTGCCTTGCAAGTGCAAGGTCCTGAGTTCAATGCCCGGTGTTGAGGGGGAAAATCCAAAATAATAGCTAAAGCTGGTCTGGTGTTCACTACCCCCCTCAGATGAGCAAGCAGAGCATGAACAGGTTGTGAAATAGTGCACAACTGAAAACCCCCAGAAAATGTCAGAAGATAGCAGCCCTTCTTCGTATGTGGCATTTCTATTTCTTCATCGAGTTTGGGTTGTGAGTCTACATAACAAAGTTTTCTTTTGTGGATGCCATGAGATCTGGCCTTGCATTTCATATGAAGGCATGTTTATAATTAATTGAGAAAAACTGAGTGCTTATAAATTATAGGAATCCTTTCAATCTGTTTTTGGTGTTTGGCAGACAGCATGGTGTAAGGAGACAGAAGATGGTGGCAATAAAGAAGTGAGGGTAAAATGCAGAGTTATTTCTGAATCTGTAGTTGCCCTCATGTGGACAAGTGGTAGATATGTCTTGCTTAACAAAGAGATAAGAGTTGTGAAAGAGTTGGAATTCTCTATCGTGTGCTTTATAAGCTCATGTTCTTCAACCAGTCAGTGGTCCATGGATATCACCTAGTAGAACTGTTTCAGCAGCAACAAAATTTTAATTGTCAGAGCTAAGAGATCTCCCATTAATTTGTATGAGGCTTCTGGAGAAGAAATCAATCACTAATATCTAAAATAAGGACTTTTCTTAAATTTCCTCAGGTATAGTTAAGGAACTGGATATTGTTGCTTTGATAATTTTCTATCCTGTTAACTGAATAAAATATGAGAAGGTTTACAGGAGTAATTTAGAATTATACCCAGCAATGAAATCTCTAGGACTTTAACAACACTCAATGGTATTGGCATTAGGGCTTAAAGGAGAGAAGTCGTGGGGTTGGTGGACAAATAAACATATAAGTGTGAACATGGAAAAACCTAGCAGAAACACAAATATGAAATGAATGGATGCAGATCTTGCAAAAGTAGCAGTTTCCAAAGCAGCAAGAGCACCTATTGAACGCAATTCCAGTTTAGGAGCAGTGACAACACACATTAGAAATGGCTATGCTTAACAGATATGAAAGTTTCCAGAAAAGGGAAATGAGTTTAGAAAACAGAAAAAAAAAATTGTGCTTGTTCATGAGATCTCCCTAAGGACATACTTAGCAAAGAGGTGGTAGAAAGAAATCTTGTTGAAAATCGGATTTTTTTCGGTTTTTATTTTTTGTTAGTACATATTCTCAGTACCTAATGTTTACATCTTTTGTGGGGAGTTGCTACCTGCACATAACATATATCGATTCTTTTTCCATCTCCTTTTCCTCCTCTGCCTCCATCTCTTGATCCCTTTCCCATGTGAAAAACATCTATCTGCTTACTACCTATTGAGTATGAGAAATTGAATGCTAAACAGCTGTTTTATATTATAATGACTATGAGGCAGAATGAGAAATGTTTCCTATTATGCAATTTAAAAAAGCCTAATGTAAAATTATACTGTAACTTCAGCTTTGGAAATTACGTGTGTCACGAGGAAAAGCTGGAAGGAAATACTAGGCACAACAGAATCTGTAAGAAGTGATATTGGAGTGGAGGAATTCTCATTTTTTCTTTTCCCTTTTTTACTACAAGTCCAAAAGTCGGAAATACATGGAAGTAGCTTGTGGATGGCTACGTTTCGCAAGTATGAAGGTTGTGTGTCTATCATGCCTTAACCATGTACGTAGCTTGCGTATTCCGCGTAGGACCATATTCACACTGTGCACCTGCTTTAATTACCAGGAACTCAGGAAACCAAAGTCACAGTCACAGCTTCTTTTATCCTTTATCATGGTCATTAACATTCGAATGGGACGTGAAATGCCAGGAGGACATTATGACGACAAAGCCTGGCTATCAGAAGAAATAAAATATGGAGCATTATTTAAATTAAAGTGATGCAATGCCAAGATTAATAACATTTCACAGAAACCGAGTTGTGTTCCAGAGACTCACTTAATAGGCAGTTTTGTAACAGGAAGGAAAATATGTCCATCAATCTGAAAGTCATTTTATTGTCTCCCTTGACACCTTGCAAACCTCAGCATTCTCTCGGGGCAGCTGGAAGCAGAGTTAGTTGCAAAAGTATTCATGGGTCCATCCTCTTCTGTCTTATTGTCAACACGAACTAGGTTTGTCTGCAGGAAAAAAGAAAGGGAGACTATGTTGTCAATTGGTGTGGCTTATAAAGCTGCATACTCAGTGGGTACTTTGACTAAATCAGTCTTTTCTATTCACCAAAATGTCCTATGTTTATTTACAATGCCTTCACTTCACCAAGGCTGCACTCAGAATTAAGCAAAATGACTTACTGACCAAGTCATTATATCCTTTGTTGTGGGCTTGGAAATAATTATTTTCCAAACCACCTCAGTTTATGGAAAACTAAAGACCAGAAAGAGCAATATGTTCACACGATTTCACAGTAAAAGTTAGCAATAATGTAAGAATAGAAATGTCACTCTCTGTCTTTCCTATTTGGTATTCTCCCCATTGTTTTGGGGAATATAGATTCTGTTAAAGAAAAACAATTATAAGCATGTTATAAAGTTGTAATATGGTATGATGTTGAAATGGTAAGTTAAGTTTAATTTTGCAAAGAAGGGAGAAGTTAAATTTAACTCCTGTTTAGTTGAGTAGTAATTAGTATGTTACGACCTGGTTGCAACCTGGGCATTGCCAGAGAGTGATTTAGGACTGAATATAGTCTCAGGGCATGTGGCTTCCTTAACCTTTCTTATGTGTCAAGAAATAAGCACAACACTCCAGTCACTAATGTCCACTAATGTCTACTTTTCTAAAATGTCAAAAGAAGGAGCCAACACTGAAACATCTAAGTAAACCTACCTGCTTCCAAGGCTGTGGGGGGTTGCTATAGTATTGCACATCCTCATCCTTCAGGAACCTGATATCCAGTTGGAAAGAAAGGATGGAATTTATAAAATAACACATATATTTTTGTACACCATAATCATCTCAAATTATACTCTATCAAAATGGAATGTGTCATTTTTCCTGTCACTCGAATCTCAGAACACTCTGATAGAGCTCAGAGGGGTTTCACCTTCATATTTACTTTATTGATATTTTCAATTACGAAGTTAGGTCCTACAGGTAAGAATTGATTCAGCATGTTTCACAAAGCCCCAGCAACAATTTAAGGAGTAGGGGCTTAATGCAGCTTGTTTATGAGCTTTCTACCCTTTATGAAGACAATGGGTCCTTGGGAATCTGTCCCTTGACTGTGTTCTTCCTTTGGCTCCTTACCACTTCCCACGCTCTTCTGATTTTTCCTGGGTCATGCATACTACATTTTTGGCTAAGTTAACTAATCTCCATATTCTTATAAGATTACCATAAGAAACGGCCTTGCACTTGTAAACTCATTGTATTTGTTTCTAACTTGGTAAGGACATAAATACAAGAATAGCGCAACTATTTGACATGCTTAACCACTTTTCCTATGGGAAAACATTCTCCATCAGACATAGACAAACTTTTGTGCTTTAGAAATATGGAATGCTGACATGCACTGTTGTAGGCTCAACAGAACTGGTTCCAGCCTTGCAGCCATTAACCAGCTTGAATTTTAATGTAACCAAAGGTGCAGGCTGGCTACAATTATCTACTAGAGCATCATAAATCTACGGCTGATTTGCTGGGATTAATCAACATAGATCTGTGCTCTGTCTGCTAGTGACATCAGAGACATGCCATGAAGTGGACATTTTTATTTTCTTCTATTCTTTACCTGGCCTCAAACTCACAGCGATCTTAGTGCCTCAGCCACCTGAGTGCTGGGATTACAGTTATGTTCCACCACACCTGGGTTAGGATTAGGGATAGAAAATAATCTTCAGCCCCATCCACCGCGGGAAGGAGAGCCACGCCTGCTCCCAACCCAGCAGCCATAGCTCAAGCACCGGGAAGGTAGACGCGTGGGTGCCCCTGAACCCTCATAAGCCCCCCCCACTCTCAGACCTCCAGACTGTGCCAGTCTTTGGACCCACTCTGCAAAGACAGAGGTGTCCTCAAGGGTATTTTTCTGAGTTCCCAACTTTGAACATCTTTAAAGAAAGGGTGTGGGAAACCTGTAATAGAACGTTGCGGAGTTCAACCATTCAGAAGGATGGGGAACTCAATCGGGGCCTTGCAGCCCGAGGTCAGTCAGCATCAGGGGGTTCAACAATCAGCTAACTGAGATCAGGGGTCTTGCATCCTCACTCTGTCTGAGCCATTAAGTGGTAAATACACTATACTGAAATTTTGTTCACTGCAGACATGTTCTGGACTGCTTCTGGATTTCAATTTAATTCAAATGATTTAAGGGTGATAGACTAGTGACTACCACAGGTGGTCAGTGTCCAAGTTGTACTTGATCTTAATGTGTTGCTGATTGTATCAGTTGGGGTAAAGCATTGCCGTTGATTTGATGAGCTGTTTTCTCTGATGTTATGAAGAAGAGAATGTCTGTGGGTCATTAGAGACACAGAAGCTAGGGTGCAACTATATCAGGAAGATTTGGGTGATAATTCAGAGATGAAACCAAGGACAGTACGACGACAAAAATTAAAATGAGAAAACACTTAAGCAAGACACAAGGACAGACTTCCAGTTTACCAATGGCAAACAGTAGGGCAAATGAGGATGAAAAGGCTGATAGTGAACCACCAGGACACCCTGAACTCAAAGCACAGGAAGTAACAAAACAGATCAATCAGGCTCTGGAAAAATTCAAAACAGAAATAATTTCCCAGATAACCATAGAGATAGTGAGCAAAATGGAAGTCGTGATTTGAGACTCTAGAGCAGAAACTGATAAAAAAATAGATGAGCTCAGGACCATGATAGAAGCCATGAAGGCCCAGCATAAGAAAGAAATGGAAAAAACAAACGCCCAACATAGGAAAGAAATGGAATCCATAAAACAAAATCAAACAGATATCCAGGAGATTAAACACTCTATTGAAAGTGTATGCAACAGAATAAAAGAATGTGAAGATAGGCTCTCAGATATAGAAGATAAGATTGCAGTCAGTGACCATGAAAAGAGAGGTCTCTTAAAAACAGTAAGAGATCATGAGAAATCGATCCAGCAACTCCTAGATGATGCAAAGAAGAATAACATAAGACTGATAGGAATCCATGAAGTAGCAGGAGAAAATACAAAGGACTTTAAAAAGCTGTTCACAGAATTAATGACAGAAAACTTCCCAAACAGAGGGGAAGAATCTGACATTCAGATAACTGAGGCATATAGGACTACAACTAGCTACAATCAAAAAAAATCTACACCCAGACATATAATAATCAAGATCCCAGAAACCCAACAGAGGAACAAAATACTACAAGCAGTAAGAGAAAAGAAACAAATCACATACAAAGGAAAGCCCATCAGAATCACAGCAGACTTTTCAACACAAACCCTTGGGGCAAGGAGAGCCTGGAATGAGATATTTCAAGTACTAAAAGAAAACAACCTCCAACCTAGACTGATGTATCCAGCAAAACTCTCTTTCAAAATGAAGGGGGAAATAAGACACTTCCACGACAAAGAACACCTGAGAAACTATATGAGTACCAAACCAACACTACAAGCGATTCTAAACAAGATCCTAGAAAAAGACAATGAAGGCAACAACACCATGAGGCCCAACAGAGCAAATCAAATAGGCAAGGCAAGAAATTAAAAGGAGAAGGTGAAAAAGTAAAAAGAGTAAACAAAAGGTCAATAACATGTCAATAATAGGTCAGTACATACCAGTTATAAACAGCAATGTCAATGGCCTTAACTCACCAATCAAGAGAAATAGACTGGCAAAATGGAATAAGAAGCAAAATCCAACAATATGTTGTATACAAGAAACACACCTAGTGCAAAAAGAAGCCCATAGACTGAAAGTGAAAAGATAGAAAACAATTCTCCATGTGACAGGAGCCCAGAAAAAAACAGGGGTAGCAATCTTATTTGCAGACAAAGTAAATTCAAACCAAAACTGAATCTAGTATTATTGATGTAGGACGGTACTGTATCATACCTCTATGAATGTAAAATATCTAGTACCTGCTTTATGATACATAGTAGGGACCGTGCTTTATCAGAGCTACATTTAATGATATTACTCTAGAATGTTCTCTTTCCAGATGATGATTAAGAGGCTAATAGAAAAAATGGTACCCGGTACCACAACAGCATCAGAACTTCGCTGTTGTCTGGATATTATTCTTTTCTTTGGTTTTTTTTTTAATAGAATGTGCTGAATGTCTATAATTTTGTTCAGATGACTGCAGAACCTGGAAAAGCTGTTGCTGCTATCTATGCATAACATACTATTATTAGTCTTTATATACACACACACACACACACACACACACACACACACATATATAAATTGAATTTTGGGAAACTTTAACGGTGCTGCCAACTTTGGAAAAAGTCATCCCAATTTACTGTGTTGACTTGGCATTGTACAGAAATGGACAACCATATTGGTCTAGAAATGTTAATTTATTTTTATTTTTTTTTTTTTCCATGTGTACAGGGGTAACACATCGTACTAAATATGTAAGGTCATATCTACGTGGGTTTGATTACAGAAACTAATAAAGTATTCTCTAAATAATGAAAAAAAGAATAAGATAAGACTATAAGAGCGAGAAGCAATTTAAATATGTTCGGGGACCATTTTCATCTCCATAATTAAAGATTATTTTAATATTACCTCATTGCCTTTTCTCTTTTACTTTCCTTTTTAGTTTTATTTTAGTGTTCCTTATTTTTAATGTTCATATAGACATTTCTTTAACTGAAATACCAAATAGTTTCTTTGGTGTGAAAAACTATAATAGTACACAGGATCCTAATGAGATAATTAATAATGTGAAATAGGAAGTAAAGGGCTGAAGGTGTAGGGAAAGTGGGAAGGGTGGGGGAAAGGTAATAAGGGAGAGGAAAAAAATATGAGAAACTGAAAAAATGGAAATAAAGTATAAATGGGGAGGGGAGGAGGGCGTGAAGGGAAGGCAGGGACAAAGGGAAAAAATGAGAATCAAGACCTATTATGTAAAGGTACAGAATCCCAATGATGATTGTAATTGTTTTGTATACCTAGATTGTACCAATAAACTCAATAAAAAGAAATATGGAATGCTTTCTAAGTATTTTCTGAATGAGTAAAATACACCATTTTCTATAAATGCTAAGCATAAATTTAAGAATATCAAGATTTCTGCTCATTAGTATATCGATATTTTTTACATAAAACCACCAACTACTCTATACAATTACAATTTAAGGGCTCCAGCCAGTCAAGTGCGAGTAAACCAGCTCACAAAACTGCCGAATGTCTCCAAGTCAGCCATCTAAAGCCAGCATGAGCTTGCTCTAGGATGCCAGTGACTAATTCTGGGTCTTTTTTCTGTAAGTGAAGGAACCCTGACGTAGGAATCTCACAGCGTGGAATTTCGTGCTGGTCTCGTCATAAAACCACCACGTGACTCTGGGTCAGCTGTTTCATGTATCCAGGTCTCAAGCTTCTCAATTGCAAAATACGGTAAGTGAATTGCTCAAGTCTACGATCTAGGATGGCTGCAACAGTCAAAAGCAGAAAGTGCCCCTCTCAGTAATCATAATGACTCTGGTTGTGCAAACATCAAATGCCAACTATAACAACAATTTGAGGTTTGCTTTCTATAAGTTACTTTTATTTTATACTTTTATCTGGGTTTTTGCCTATTATTGATTAAATTCTGGACAGGTATCCCATTTCTCTAAAATATATATTGGGTGGAAGCAATCGTTCAATTTTATTACTGAAGCATTTGTTAATATATGAATTCCTCCATCAGTTTATGTTTTATTTATTGTGGGAAACATTCCTGCACCATTAACGTTTATGGCATTACTCTGTTTTTAAACATGTCCATTTAAAAATTATGATCTCTGTTTATAAAATTTAGGCAACATCAGGAATTTGATGGGACAGTTGAGAGATTTCATGCAGTGGCCATCAGTATAGGAAATAGAGACTGTACTTTTTGTGCTGTTTTATTTAAATAAACATACATGTCCATTATGCTGTAAACAATCAGATGACATCCATGAAATACAGACATTGCTTTAGATGTCTGATTCTGTAAAGTTTAATCCAAAAGAATAAGCCAGTTTACATTCCTTCTTTCTGGTCAAATGAAAATTTTCTACTTGGAACACAAATTTTTCATTACCAAAAGGTGATTAAGACAGCACAGAGTTTCCCTTTGTTTCTTCATTACGTGCACATGAGTGTATAATGCAGGAATACATAATAGACTATTTTCCTAGGTTTGACACTTATAAAAGTAAACAGGGATGAATTTAATTAAACCTTTTTGCATCCCATGGGCCAGGGATTTAGCTCAGCAGTTCGGTGGCCTGCCTTGCAAGCGCAAGTACCCGAGTTCAATCCCCGGTACCAAAAACAAAACAAAACAAAAAAATCTGGTAAAACTTTTTGCATCTTGATATTTGCGACCTATCCCGTGGTAGAACCATACTTACGACATCATTAAAGGCCAGAGCTGAATGAAAACCTACGGGTTACAAATCAATTTCTATATTTTGTATACAGGAAAACTGAGACTCATAGCTAGTAAGTGACTTGACAAAATAATACAGGAAAGATCATGTTGCTTTTTCCACTCTATCCCAAAAATCCGAGCCTTGAATGGTGTCTGCATAGTACAAGGAGGTAAACTTAAGAAACACTTTTTCATCCACCCTTGTTTTTATTCATGCATTTCAAGAGCCACAGATATGTCCCTTTTCCACAAACTTCATACTAGAATTTGATCACACTTGTCTCTGATCACTATGGGGTAAGTAACAAATAATAGATAAAAGAGTACTCCTGCTGGGAAACACTTGTATTTTTAAGAGACCCTCAAATTATGTATAATAAATTGACTTTAGAAAATTTTAGATATCCTTTTCCTTTGAAGATAGTGCAGAGTTCCCAAGTAATATCACTGCTAATATCTCACGTTCATACAACGCCCTTGTCACAATTAATGGACCAATATTGATACATTATTATTAACTGAATACATTTTATTCAGATTTGATTTCTACACTAATTTCTTTTTTTCCCCCTAACAGAATTCCATCAGGATGACATACTATGGTTAATCGTCCTTTCTGAAGTTGTGGTTGATTCAGACAGCTTCTCAAATTTTCTTTATGTTTATGGTTTGACAGTTTCGAGAAGTAATGGTCAGTAATTCTGTAAAATGTTTTTCAGCTGGTATTTGTCTGATGGTCTTCTTATGGTTGGGCTGAAGTTACGGGTTTTTGTGCGGACTAACACAAATGCCACTTTTATATCGTCCTAGTGAGGATCTGTGGTATCAACTACCAATCTAACTTATTGTAATTGATGTTAACCTCGATCACCAAGCCAAAGTGTCACATATCAACTTTAAGCACGGTGCACTTACTCATTTTGCACACATTATCTGCAGGCATGAAAGAACAGGGATTATGTTTCATCTGCTTCAAAGGAGAGAGTGGATGATTTGGAATTCTGCGCAATATATTTTTACATCCTTTCTCATTTATTTTTAATTATTTGTTTATATTACTAAAGATTTATGGATATTTGCAGCATAGTTTAAAACTGTGTTTTTGTTGAAATTGTTGTGGCATTGGTCATTGAGTGCACCATTAGATGACTTCTGTGTCCTTTGGGTACAGCCCCACTGAGGTGGATTCTTTTGGCACTTGATTTTATTTTTTGACAATATCAAATGCTCCAAGATTTTCTTGAACAACTCTTTCCCTAGTCCTAGAGCCAACTATTTCTCAAAGGAGGCCTAGTGTCTTTTATTGGAAAAGGATATTAAAAAACCAGATATAGATGCTGGTTGTGTTCATTGCTATTGAAATATCATTAATTTTAGGCCAGTTCACTTGACAGAACAAAGAAATATGTGTACATATTACTAACCTGCTTTTGTACACATTTTCATAAGCATTACCATTTGTAAGCATCTATGTGTATATTAAACTAAACATGAGTTCATGGTGATATCTTCAACTTTAACCTATTATCATGTATAATTCTAGCCTCCATGTCTTGGTTATCCCTAACTTCCTACTGTAACAATAAGACTCCCAATTCTCCCACCATCTGTTATTTAATTGTCCAGTTACAGTGTCCTGTGATATATGTATTAGTTAACCTAATCCAGGTGGGCAAGAATGCGGTGTTCACGTACACTTTCTTTGACTTTAGTCTCAGGCTTATACATTCTACTTTCTTCTAAAAATCCACAGCACTCTTCTCTCCTGTGGTGAAGTTAGTGTCTAAATTTGTAATACTATCAGAATTTAGTCCTAGTCTGCACTCTCTCCTGGAATTCCCCCAGCCTCATAATTTTTTTAAAAAAATTATATACTTTGAGGTATACTCTTTGTGCTATAAATGTTGATGGATTGTGACAAATGTATAAATGCCATGGAACAACCATTATGTTCTCAAAAAGAAAATTTTGACCATAAAAAATGAAATCCTCTGTGCTTGACCTATTTATTCATCCCTCTGACCATCCTCTGTAACCTGGCAGCCACAGATCTTTTCTCCTTGTGCACAGTTTGGCGTTTTCCAGAATCTTGTGTAACTGAGTTATAGAGAATGTATTCCTTTCAGATAGGCTTATTTTGCATACAAATATGGATTTATGATAGATCTATGTTTGTTTATGGCTGAATAGGTGATTTCTTTATATCACTGAATAGTATTTCATCGTGTAGATGTGCAATAGCTTGATTATCCATTCACTCTTTGACGGACATCTTAGTTGGCTACAGCTTGTACCATCATCCGTAAAGTTACTCTACTCCTCTCATGTGTAGATCTTTGTGTGGGGGTAAATATATAAGTTTTCAGTTGCTGCATAATATGATATGACTTTATTTAGTGTTGTAAGAAACTGCCAAACTATTTCCAAAATGACGGCACTATTTTGTATACCGGTCAGCAAGAAACAAGAGATTCTGTTGCTTGACATACTCATCAACACCTGGTGTTGCCCCCCCGCACTTGGGTATTAGCTCTTTGAATAGGATTGCAATATCTCTTTGTTATTTTAATTTGTATTTCTTCAGGACAAATGATTTGTTCATATTTTATATGGTGCTTTGACGGTATCCATCTTGGGTGAAGTGTCTGCTTAGAACTTTGGCCCATTTAAAAAATTGGGTAGTTTCCTTATTTTTGAGTTTAAGAGCCCCCCCATTAAGTTTATTGGTACATTTAAAGCAAACAATAGTTACATTTATCATTGGGACCCTTTACCTTTACATGATAGGTCTCAGTTCTTGTTTTTCCCCATGTCCCTGCCCTCCCTTCACCCGCTTCACCCTTCACTATTTACAAAGACTGTTTCCATTTTTTTCCTTCTTTTACATTTTTTCTTTCCCCTTATTTCTCTTCCCCTCCCTTTCTGATTTCCTCTTTAGCCATTTTCTTCCTATTTCACACTCTCAACTCTGCCACTGGAACCTTATTTACCCTTCTAGTTTTTCATGTCCTGGATGCGTCCCTTATCAAATATACTTTGCAAAATTTCCTCACTCTGTGGCTTGTATTTTATTTATCTTTAGCAAAGTCGTGTTTTTTTTTTTTTGGTTTTAATAGAATCCAGCTCCTTAAGTGTTTGTTTTATGGATCACACCTGCACTTGGATTTATATTTAAAAACTCATTATCTAATGCCAGATCACCTAACTTCTCCTACTAGGTGCTGTATAATGTATTTTACATCTGATCCCATAATCTAAGCTGATTTACATGTTTGGGTGCAATATGTACCCCCTGTATGCGATTCTCTTTCCCTCCCTCCTTTTCCCTCTCTCCTCACTCTCTCTTTCTCTTTCCAGAACTATTTACTGAGATTATCTTTTGTCTATTGAATTGCATATGTTCTTTTTGGAAACTCTGTTGGCTAGATTTGAGTGTGTGTTTGACTTTAGTTTGTTTATACAACTCTACCAAACAGTTCTTTTTTCATCAGTTCCCTTCTGTCTTCATTACTGTAGCTTTATATGAAATCTGGAAATCAGGTGCTGTGTGACTCCAGTTCTCTGGTAAGTAAAAAAAAAAATCTCGTTGATTTTCAGTGTGTTCAGGTTTTAAAGCTGATGACTTCTAAATCTTTTATATAACAAAGCTGATCCCAGAAGTTTCCCTTTTATAGCTTTATGAGCTTGTGTACTTGGGCTGGAAGAGTTTCTCTCTGAGGGTGAGTAGGGACTTCAGTTTATACCGATGACTTAGGTTACTGATTTTTTCATGTTTAAACTTTTATCAGACCAAAAAAACCAAATCAGTCTAAAATTGTCAAAGTTAAAATGCATCCTTTTAGCATGTTATCTTTAGAGGTTC